TTTGAAACCTCTTTATACTTTTACACGCATCGCAACTTTTTAATAAATATCAACAATGACTTTCAAACTAAAACACGCAGAAAAAAAGAAAAAGGATGATAACCGTCTGTTTCTCCAAGACTATTTTATCACTTTCGACGAGATAATTAAACCTTACTGCAGCGGAAGTCAAACAAAAGTGCCTAACAGTCTTTGTTTACCTGATTATCACTTATTTTCGCGCGACTTTAGTTTCGCGATTTTGACGAATCACCGTTTTTCAAGGTAATTAAATTTCGCAGATCAAGTACACTGGTACTCGTTTTTTAAACTTCCGTTTCTGAATTTTACTTAACCGTAACGGCCGATGGAAACCCAACAACAAATGGCTGAACTGTGTTCGGTAATGTTAGCAACATAACATCTTTTAAAAGTATACTAATATAAGCAAACGCAACTCGATTGCGCTGCCAGTTAGCTTTTAGATAAGGATCGCCTCAATGTTTTCAAATGGATCTTCAGGCGATAAAGTTGTCATCCCTTGAACAGTCTGAACAATCAGAACAAGTACGGATATTCCTACTTTGCTCCATCTTTTGCAATTTTTACGCTTTCCCACGCTGCCTGTCAAATGGTTGTAAAGAGCATTTTTGAAACGATATAAAATCAGTGAGCAGCACTTCTACGAACGTCTATTGAGTTGTAAAATTGCGGATCCAGAGGAGGGGCCCGGGAGGCCTGGGACCCCGGCCCCTTATTTTTAGACCAAACTGAGGCCCTAAGGACCGAAAACAAAAATTTTTTGGAGACCAGTCCCCTGTCTTATGTCAGGGTCTAGATGACCGGTCTTCCCCCCTCTCGCCCCTGTCCCGTTATCTGAAGGTCTGGATCTGCCACTGAAAGACCTAAATGGGCCAGAAAAAAAAAATTCTCCACATAAAAGAAAAACGAAACAAGACACAAGAGATACATAATGTTTATTTCAGTCACAAGCCGCTTTTTTTAACCCTTTAGAAATTAGCACTAAAATGTTTTCTTGTCTGCATTTTAAAATGTCGACCCAGAATCTGCATTAATTTTTCCACTACACTCTACTTTCGGCTTTGATCGGGAGTGAAGCTGGCTTAACATCTAGGGCAGCCTCTTGCAGACAAGACCACAGGGAAAACCAGTATTCCAACAGGTGAGATCATTCCAGTCGCCAGATGCCCTATAAGAAACCCCTGCGTGACCAGTCCACATGTTGCTACAAGGCTCCGCACCATTTCCATTTGGTTCATTTGGCGACCATTTGGTGAAGGTAGGAACTGAATGATCGTACCACACGAAGGCCTTTAGGTGAGAATCCCACTCGAGTCCGATCCAAATCTGCTTCAACGATGGGGCGAGCTTGTTTACCAGGTTTAGTACAAACTCGTTTTCCTCCTTGCTGTTAATTTTCACCAGATTTCCTCCCAGTTCTTTACAGTACGCTTGAGCATATTGCCAAGTCTGGATAGAGCTACTGACAAGATAGCAGTATCCCTTAAATCGCACCCAGCCCAGTGGACAAGGAACGCCTGAAAGAAAAGTAGGACAAAGAGTTTTTAAAACCTAATCGGTAATGAATTTCGTGGTTACATTCGTGGCAGATTTTCGCGGGCTCTTATCTCTTCAGTTTTCACGATTTCAATAATTAATGGCATATGAAAAAAGGCATTAAATTTCGCGATTCAAGTGTTCCCAGCTTAATTTTTTTTCCAACATTTCTGACATTCTAAATTTGTAGATAAACTGTATGGGCGTCCGGCCGGATACTAGCTAGACTTTCTTCTTCATGTGCGAATATCAATAAATTAACACCCTCTTTCATAGAAAATACCTGAACAAAACGGAACTTACTAAAAACCAGTTGATTATTAGAAAGTGTATTTTTCAAATCTTAATTGTGCATATGCTGTTATAATTACATGCGAAGTGGAGTTATCATCTTTTCTATGATTTGAATATTCTATGGACTATTTGGTCATTGAATTTTGCGTGTTTAAATTTAAAATTTTAAAATTATAAAACTGAACAGCGTCAAAATAAGTACCAATATACGTACTGTTGTTTGAAAGAAGAGACTGGAAGAAAAATTGACCAAAGTCTTACTATCAGTTCGTGAAAGCTATCTCAAAATTCGGGGGAAAAAAAGAGGGTTTACTTTTTGCAGGATCAACTTTACTCACCAAGTATTCGCTCGATATCTCGCAGTTTTGCAAGTGTTGTGTCATTACCAACACTTCGTTTAATTACACTGCTTGTCTGAACTGCAAGAAAAATTGCACTCACATAAATCAACAATATCTTAGTAGAATCTTCAATTTGTGAAAGAGTCACTACTAGTGACTGGAAATTGCAACCTTAACCAAAAAATGTATCTTATTCTAATAGAATCACATTTTTAGCCGAGACAGTTTTTAAATTGAATTGTTGTTGAAGGTACCGTTACATGTCATAACCAAGATTTTGGAGAAGTATTTCTGACGAAATCGAAGCCGCAACGTATAGTGATGAAAGACGAGAGACTAAAACAACAGTCGCATTGCCATTCCGATGCGGCCTCGTTTTACAGCTGATTGACGTTGACCACAACGACGACTTCACAAAAAACAATAGGTTTAATGATCAAAACAACAGCTCTGTACCTGCATCACGTTTTTTAGTACATTTCTACGTCCACTGCATGACTATTACGTGAAACCTTCTTATTTGACGTTTTATAGAGGACGTGGACATACGACGACGAATTTTCCTATCTCTTTTTTAACCTGAATAAAATCCTTAAGAATTTAACTCCAGGAAAAGACGCCTACATTTGACATATTGAATGGGTCCAAATAGACGGGATTGAGTTTGAGAGGAAGCAAATTCATTTTTTTACTGACGTTTTCACTGTCGTCGTCGTCAAATCAATCAATCAATCAATAAACTTTATTTACCCTCGAATTTACAGTGTAGCACTCAAGTGCTAATATCTTCGAGCCAACGAGTCGTCGTCCTTGCTTAAGGTCCCTAATGTCCCTATTTTTTGTGTGATGAAGGCATTGAGTGTTTTTATTTTGCATATTAAATCTGTTTCTTTTCTATTTTCTCGTCTCTGTCATTGTCGCCGTCGCCACGTGGTTGCACTCGCCAGTAGCGTTTAATACCACGTAAAACAATTTCGCTTGATACGGAAATGATTTCTTTGTAAAATCGACGATTTGGTGGAAAACTGAACGCGACGAAAACGACGTTCCCAGGTATCATACAGAGGCTCACGCTATTGTGATAAATAGATGTACAAAGTATTATTCCGACCAATTTCCTAATTAGCTTTTTGCTTTCCCCTGAGTTAGTGCTTTTGCTGATTTGCTAGGTCCGGGCGAACATAACTCTGTATGGTGGTATGGAAAAATTACACTATACCTAGGTCTTTTGAGCTCGGATTCGGCGGCTGATTCGGTCTCACCAGCGGTCAGGGAATTGCTGAGCTGTTCTTTTGAGTTCTTGTTTCTCACAGGCTCTGTCAAAGTGATGATTCATTGAAGGATGAAGCTGAATAAACGAGTTCAGATAGGATCATTATGATAGACGGAAAGATCACGAGGCGAGACCATGATCATCCGAACAGCGAGTTGAAGCTTTAATTTGAGGATGCAGTATTACGCGGTCTAGTTTTACTAGCAACAATAGGGCCATTTATACGAGGAAAAATAAGACGCGTCTTACATGAGACGCGAACTTTCCGTATAAACGGCACATTTCGTCTAAAATAAGACGCGGCTTAGCTAAGACGCGTCTTATTAGATAAGACATGCTCGTATAAATGGTACAGTTCGCGTCTTATTTAAGACGCGTCTTATTTTTCCTCGTATAAATGGCCGTAATATGTGACCTCCACAGGATTTTGATGCTAAAGGTGAAAGCACGCTTACGAAACGCTTCCATTAACAAAACGATTCATTTTAACACGCTTTAGGTCGCTCGCCATCTTGTCTCATTAGCAATTTCTTTTGTTTTAGAGGACACGCTTGAGACAATTAAGCGTGAGCAAGTTAAAAAGGAGAAAACGCGTGTTAAAGTTTTTACACAACAGCTGCGTGCGAAATAGCACACCATGTATTCAGCGTACACAAAAGCACGCAGGGCGTGTTATCTAAATTAAAGCTAGAAGCACTGCACAAAAGTCACCGAAACTTGATTTTTCCTTTTCAGTTACGGAAGAAAAATACAAAATTTTTGAATATTCATCAGCAGTCAAAAGGATTTTGAGAAAGCAATTTACTTTTTCGCATCTGCAGAAATTCACACCGCCCGTCAGTGCTTTCATGCGCGTGCACCCCTTATCTTACACTTTGACGAGTAAAAGTTTCAATTTTTCCCGAAAAAAAAAAACAACAATTGGTTGCTTATCTGAACTTTTGGACAATTGAGTCTGCATATTTTTTAATATAAAGGCTACTCTCTTAATCATAAAATGCGTTTGTTTCTGGTACATAACTTGCGTCGGGTCGCGTCAGGATCAGTCGCAACGGCGAATGAGAAATATGGTGTTAATAGTTGTCAAAATGGTAAATAAATGTTTTACATAACATTTATATAACCTAGCTAAAGGTGAACAGCTAATTTCATAAATCTAAAAAATGTACCGTTCTAAGCAAAACATAAAACGCTGACTTTGAATTTTGTTTTAAAAATATAATTAAATTTGCATACGTAATTTGAAACCTCTTTATACTTTTACACGCATCACAACTTTTTAATAAATATCAACAATGACTTTCAAACCAAATCACGCAGAAAAAGTGAAAAAGGATGATAACTGTCTGTTTCTCCAAGACTATTTTATCATTTTCGACGAGATAATTAAACCTTACTGCAGCGGAAGTCAAACAGAAGTGCCTAACAGGTCTTTGTTTACCTGATTATCACTTATTTTCGCGCGACTTTAATTTCGCGAATTTGGAATAGGAATATTTCGCGGGACTCCAATTTCGCGATTTTGACGAATCACCGTTTTTCAAGGTAATTAAATTTCGCAGATCAAGTACACTTGTGCTCGTTTTTTAAACTTCCGTTTCTGAATTTTACTTAACCGTAACGGCCGATGGAAACCCAACAAAAAATGGCTGAACTGTGTTCGATAATGTTAGCAACATAACATCTATTAAAAGTATACTAATATAAGCAACCGCAACTCGATTGCGCTGCCAATTAGCTTTTAGATAAGGATCTCCTCAATGTTTTCAAATGGATCTTCAGGCGATAAGGTTGTCTTCCCTTGAACAGTCTGAACAATCTTATCAGCACAAGTACGGATATTCCTACTTTGCTCCATCCTTTGCTATTTTTACGCTTTCCCACAATGCCTGTCAAATGGTTGTAAAGAGTATTTTTGAAACGATATAAAATCAGTGAGCAGCACTTCTGCGAACGTCTCTTGAGTTGTAAAATTGCGGATCCAGGGAAGGGGCACGGGAGGCCCGGGACCCAGCCCCTTATTTTTAGACCAAACTGAGGCCCTAAGGACCGAAAACAAAAATTTTTTGGAGACCAGTCCCCTCTCTTATGTCAGGGTCTAGATGACCGGTCTTCCCCCTTCGCGCCCCTGTCCCGTTATCTGAAGGTCTGGATCTGCTACTGAAAGACCTAAATGGGCCAGAAAAAAAAATTCTCCACATAAAAGAAAAACCAAACAAGACACAAGAGATACATAATGTTTATTTCAGTCACAAGCCGCTTTTTTTAACCCTTTAGAAATTAGCACTAAAATGTTTTCTTGTCTGCATTTTAAAATGTCGACCCAGAATCTGCATTAATTTTTCCACTACACTCTACTTTCGGCTTTGATCGGGAGTGAAGCTGGCTTAACATCTAGGGCAGCCTCTTGCAGACAAGACCACAGGGAAAACCAGTATTCCAACAGGTGAGATCATTCCAGTCGCCAGATGCCCTATAAGAAACCCCTACGTGACCAGTCCACATGTTGCTACNGAAAAATTGACCAAAGTCTTACTATCAGTTCGTGAAAACTATCTCTAAATTCGGGGGAAAAAAAGGGTTTATTTTTTGCTGGATCAACTTTACTCACCAAGTATTCGCTCGATATCTCGCAGTTTTGCAAGTGTTGTGTCATTACCAACACTTCGTTTAATTACACTGCTTGTCTGAACTGCAAGAAAAATTGCACTCACATAAATCAACAATATCTTAGTAAGATCTTCAATTTGTGAAAGAGTCACTACTAGTGACTGGAAATTGCAACCTTTTCACCGAAAAATGCTAATAGTATCTTTTTTGTAGCCGATGCAGTGATCATAACCAAGATTTTTGGAGAAGTATTTCTGACGAAATCGAAGCCGCAACGATCGCTAATGATGAAATGACGATTTTAGAGTCAGATTGACATTACCATTTCGATCCGGCAACTTTTTAGTGTTTTACAACATTTTTCCTGCGATGAAGGCATTGAGTGTTTTTATTTTGCTTATTAAATCTGTTTCTTTTCTATTTTCTCGTCTTTGTCGTTGTCGCCGTCTCTACGTTGTTCCGCTCGCCAGTAGCGTTTAATACCACGCAAAACAATTTCGCTTGATACGGAAATGATTTCTTTGTAAAATCGACGATTTGGTGGAAAACTGAACTCGACGAAAACGACGTTCCCAGGTATCATACAGAGGCTCACGATATTGTGATCAATAAATGTAGTATTATTCCATGTGACCAATTTCCTAAGTATAGGTGTTCTGAGCAATTTGCTTTTCCCCTGAGTTAGTTCTTTTGCTGGTTTGCTAGGTCAACGAATAAAAATATCTGTATGGTGGTGTGGAAAAATTACACTATACCTAGGTCTGTTGCGCATAAAAGTGCCAAATATATGGCTAGAATAGCCGAAAACAGTTTCATCTCGGATTCGGTCTCACCAGCGGTCAGGGAATTGCTGAGCAGTTCTTTTGAGTTCTTGTTTCTCACAGTTCTCTGTCAAAGTGATGACTCATTGAAGGATGAAGCTGAATAAACGACTTCAGACAGGATCTTATGATAGACGTAAACATCACGAGGCGAGACCATGATCATCCGAACAGCGAGTTCAAGCTTTAATTTGAGGATGAAACTATCGCTTCATTACGCGATCTAGTTTTACTAGCAACAATATGTGACCCTCCACAGAATTTTGATGCTGAAGGTGAAAGCACGCTTACGAAACGCTTCCATTTTAAAACAAAACAATTCATTTTAACACGCTTTAGCACGCGAGCCATCTTGCACTATTAGCGATTTCTTTTGTTTTAGAGGACACGCTTGAGACAATTAAGGGTGAGCGAGTTAAAAAACAGAAAACGCGTGTCAAAGTTTTTACACAACAGCTGCGTGCGAAATAGCACAACAGCCTTTCAACATCGGCAAAAGCACACAAGGCGTGTTATCTAAAGCTGCTCAGAAGTACCCGAAACTTGATTTTCCCCTGTTAGACGCAAAAATCGAGTCTCGGCTTTTCAGTTATGGAAAGGACATACACAAGTTTTGAATATTCATCAGTCAACTTTACTTTTTCGCATCTGCAAAAAATTCACACCGCCCTTCAGTGCTTTCATGCGCGTCCACCCCTTATCGTGCACTTTGACGAGTAAAGTTTCACTTTTGGACGAAAAAAAAAACAACAATAAACAACAATTGGTTCCTTATCTGAACTTTTGGACACTTGTGTCTGTATATTTTTTAATATGAAGGCTACCTTCCTAATCATAAAAGGCGTTTGTTTTTGGTACATAACTTGCGTCGGCTCGCGTCAGGATCAGTCGCGATGGCGAATGAGAAATATGGTGTTAATAGTTGTCAAAATGGTAAATAAATGTTTTACATAACATTTACATAACCTAGCTAAAGGTGAACAGCTAATTTCATAAATCTCCAAATGTACCGTTCTAAGCAAAACATAAAACGCTGACTTCGAAATTTTTTTTTAAAAATATAATTAAATTTGCATACGAAATTTGAAACCTCCTTATACTTTTACACGCATCGCAACTTTTTAATAAACATCAACAATGACTTTCAAACCAAAACAGGCAGAAAAAGTGAAAAAGGATGATAACCGTCTGTTTCTCCAAGACTATTTTATCATTTTCGACGAGATAATTACAAAACCTTACTGCAGCGGAAGTCAAACAGAAGTCCCTAACAGTCTTTGTTTACCTGATTATCACTTATTTTCACGCGACTTTAATTTCGCGAATTTGGAATAAATTTCGCGATTTTGACGAATCACCGTTTTTCAAAGTAACTAAATTTCGCGGATCAAGTACACCGGTGCTCGTTTTTTAAACTTCCATTTCTGAATTTTTTTTTAGCCTTAACGGCCGATAGAAACCCAACAAGCAAATGGCTGAAATGTTTGATAATGTTTATAGCAATATAACATCTTTTAAAAGTACACTGATATAAGCAACCGTGACTCGATTGCGCTGCCAATTAGCTTTTAGATAAGGATCTCCTCAATGTTTTCAAATGGATCTTCAGTCGATAAGGTTGCCTTCCCTTGAACAGTCTGAACAATCAGAACAAGTACGGATATTCCTACTTTGCTCCATCCTTTGCTATTTTTACGCCTTCCCACATGTACACTGCCTGTCAAGTGGTTGTAAAGAGTATTTTTGAAACGATATAAAATCAGTGAACAGCACTTCTGCGAACGTCTCTTGAGTTGTAAAATTTCGGATCCAGGGGAGGCCACCCCCCCCCCCCCCCCCCCACTTATTTTTAGACCAAACTGAGGGCCCAAGGGCCGAAAACAAAAATTTTTGGAGACCAGTCCCCTATCTTATGTCAGGGCTTCCCCCCTCCCCATCCCCCCCACTTATCTGAAGGTCTGGATCTGCCACTGAAAGACCTAAATGGGCCAGAAAAAAGAATCTTCTACATAAAAGAAAAAACAAACAAGATACAAGGGATACATAATGTTTATTTCAGTCAAAAGCCGCTCTTTTTTTAACCCTTTAGAAATTAGCACTTAAATGTTTTCTTGTCTGCATTTGAAAGTGTCGACCCAGAATCTGCATTAATTTTTCCACTACACTCTACTTTCGGCTTTGGTCGGGAATGAAGCTGGCTTAACATCTAGGGCAGCCTCTTGCAGACAAGACCACAGGGTAAACCAGTATTCCAACAAGTGAGATCATTCCAGTCGCCAGATGCCCTAACAGAACTCCCTGCGTGACCAGTCCACATGTGGCTACAAGGCTCTCGACTATTTCCATTTGGTTCATGTGGGGCCCATTTGATGAAGGTAGGAACTGAATGATCGTACCACACAAAGGCCTTTAGTTGAGAATCCCACTCGAGTCCGATCCAAATCTGCTTCAGCGATGGGGCGAGCTTGTTTACGAGGTTTAGTACAAACTCGTTTTCTTCCTGGCTGTTTATTTTCACCAAATTTCCTCCCAGTCCTTTGCAGTACGCTTGGGCATTTTGCCAAGTCTTGATGGAGCTACTGACAAGATAGCAGTATCCTTTAAATCGCACCCAGCCCTGTGGACAAGGAACGCCTGAAAAAGGTGTGAAGTTTTCTCAGTTTGGGGAAATATAATATAAAATTTTAAGACAACGGAAGAATAAATAGAAAAAAAGAACCGAAATCCAACAATTAATTCTGAATAAAGTCAAAATAAATATCTGTACATAAGAAAGAGAATGTTGGTGAAAACTGAGCTGATTGTTTGTTAAAACAGGATGATGTTCTATAAAAAACAACTTTGAAATCGCTTTTCCATATTGATTCGGTTACTTACCAAGTATTCTTTTAATTTGTCTTAGTGTTGCCATCAACGTGATACGATAAACATCTCTCTTAGTATAACTACCCGACTGAGCTGTAAAATAATAATAATAATAACGCGTAAATTTAGAAGTGATGTTTTAAAAATTTAAATGCTACATATTTATTCAAACACCCTTTGGAGTCAAGAGTCAAGGAGTTTTTTCAACCCCCAGCCTGAAATTTATTCATGAATTCTAGAAGGTTTCTGGTTAAAGAAAATCGCAATTTTAACCGTATCGTAAGATTTTTTTTAAGTAACCCTGATTTGTTCAGTCGAATCACCACACCGGGGCAAATATCATTAAAAACCCAGGGTCGTAACTCCTTAAGTAGTAACCTTTATCCCTTGTCTTTGTAGATTTAAAACACGAGCCTTAAATTATGGCATGTTATGGCTGTACATTTTTCCTTGCTGTATGGCTGTACATTTCTCTTCACGACGAAACATTCTGTAATAAAGCTTATAGTGTCATTTCTTCGTTTTATTCGAAAGTAGTTTGTGGTCAATTGTAGAAAGCTTTCGCTACTTTGACCACCATAACACATTTTATAATCCGTACTGTAATTTTTTTATTGTTTTCTTTCTATATTATTCTCTGTAAATAGTTTGAAATTAATGACCCATTGAACCAAGACTTATATATGGCCAGTAACTGAAAATATGTTTCACCAATGTTTAAAAAACTATACCGTATTACAAAAACATTTTGGTTAATGACCCGCGCGCCCTAGTATGTAATTAACTGTCGAGCCCGGCGCGTGAAAAAATAAATTCCACATAACCCACTAACAAGCTTATTAGCTAAAAGTTGGTGATTATCTAATCTGAATATTTCTTTTAGAAAAATAAGGTCAGTATAGAAGTAAAAAAAACATGGCGGGGCGGCAGCCAGGATATCACGATCGTTCATATCTGAAATATTAAACCTGACAATGTTCTCTGGCTGAAAAATTTAAACTGTACAAGCGTTTAGCTGCCTCAACTACACTCTTTAACAGGCGAAATAATTCAGGAAAGTAACACTAAAAATTGTAAAATATAGTGTGATAAAACAAACAATTCCCATTAAGTTTTTTTCTCATTTCAGTAGAATATATATCTTGTTATCTATATTTAATAATTATTTTATTTTCAAATCATTTCGCCCGTTGAAGACCGTAGTTCAGACGGTCGAAAGCTTGTATTTTTTAAACACTTTTAGACAAAGAACGATTCCTTATAATTATTTCAAATGTGGAAGTGTTAATTTATAAGTGAAATTTGCGTAATAGTGAGGCGTCCGTAAGATAAAAGTTACTTTCACCTGTTGCGCATAAAAGCAGGAGGAAGAGCAGCAAGATCAAACACAGTTTCATGTTGGTTTTTTTTAAGTCTCGCTTGATATCTCCCAGCCGCTTTCGGGTATTGCTAGGTCCTTCTCTTCTACAGTCCCCAAAATGATGACTCGTAGAATTTATTTGTGGAGTAATTATGGTTAACATCCTTCTAAACAAGATAAAACAAGATCTAGTGATGACAGTAAACATACAGTTAAACCCCAAAGGATTGAAAAGGTACCGGCGGGCCCCCGGGTGAAATATAGCTTGCCACAGTTGTAATAAGTTGTATAGAACAGCACTTTGTTATGAGGAGCGATTCTCGTCAGTTAACGTTATAGTGGGATTCCTTAGCCCGAGAACGCAGACGTACTTCCACTTGTTGTTTCTCTTTACCCGTAAGGACCGGAAATACGTCCACGACCTGCTGGCTTAAGTGAGGAGTAAACAACATCAGATTGCATGCAGATCAGATTTATCACTTAATTTAAAATACCTTGAATGTTTCTCCAAACAGGATCATGTAAAAAATAGTGGACAGAATACGGTAAATTAAACCAAAACCGCAAATTAGCCGAAAAAAATTGTAATTTTGCAGTAACTGAGTCAAATGCTATTATGCATATTCTAGAATTTATTAGCCTTTCCTTCGAAATTGAATTAGCTGAAATTAAATTTGCATATCAAAGACAGTTAAAGTTCCAGCAACTATTTTTCGTTGAGAAATAGGTTTCGATAATATTTCGTCAGAAACGCCAACATATGATAGCCGAAAGTGTTTTTAAAACACGGAATGTAGTGTGCCAACATGTGAAAAGAAAAACAAGTAGTTTGATTCCGTTTTATTCCACTTTCTCCCCGGAGGTTATTGCGTTATGGTTGAAATCCAAATTATGGCGATCATGGATTTAATTCGTCTTCGCCTCTAGCTATTAAACGATAATTTTTCCAATATGTTCGGCATACAAGTGTAATATATATATTATTATTATAATATATAGATATGATGCACGTAGCATTCAGTGGTCTTTAACTCCCTTTCTCTTTGCAAAAGAAGAGCTAAAAACTGACTTCGAGGTCAACTTTTCGAATTATGGATACCGTAAAATTCCGAAAATAAGCCCCGGGGTTTATCTTTTTCAAAGGCCATTTTTGAGCGGCTTATTTTTGGAGGGGCTTATCTACGGAGGGAAATTTGCGTCTCAAAATCGATTGGGCTAGCCTTATAGTTTTAATTTACCGTTTTTGCTTTCTTTTACTTTGTATTTGAGGAAAATTTTCCAAGTACAAGCCCCCTGGAGCTTATATTTGGAGGGGAGATTTAACGGAGGGTTTTTTGCGTTACCGGTTTTTGGGGGCTTATACATGGAGGGGCTTATTTTCGGAATTTTACGGTATTTCGGTTTATTACGGACATGGACTCGGGGAATCTGGTAATCAATATTACATGACAAAACATGAATCTTCCTACCATTCACGTGAGCGGTTCAGGGTGACGTCATAAAATTGTAAAGTCAAAATAGCGAGGTTTTACAAATTCATATTTACACTAGGTTGAAAATAAAGCAAAAATAAATCTTTGTTCAAGTTTCCATTCCTGTAACATGTTTCATTTCGAAAATACAGCAATTTGAACTTCCGCACCAAAATAGGAATGCTGTCTCGCTGAAAAATAGCCTCTCCTCTTCATTTTCAGCAGTACAACCATTTCAAGTATTACAAGACATGTTTCTGCGCGCGTATGCTAGTTCGCGAGTGATAAGAAAGAGCTTTTATATAAAAAGTGAACTCCAGATGTTTTTGTTGATTTCCGGCGGCCAAATTGGTGGACCAAAACTGTACACCAATATGGCGTCTCCATACAAAACTCTACAAAGGTGCTTGAAACGTTTCGGCAAATAACTCAGAAAAATGTGGGCCAAAAAGACCTGAGACTTGGACAAATTGTTTATGTATTAGTCTTTTATAACATTTCATTTTCTTGGCTTCTTCTACCGGACGGTTTCCAATTTATTTTTTTGTTGTGTGACAGTGAAAACGATCTAATGTCATTCGCGTTCACCACGCAACACGTAGTCGTCGAGTTTTCTGAGCGCACGTCAGATTTAACAGAACCGAAAACTTTCAAAAACGTTTCCCACAACAAAACACATCGCAATACCCATGATAAGAGACTCACCTGGTCGGCCAGGTGGAATCGGTGTGCGGTTCTTTGATGCGGGAGAGATTTGTGAGTTGAGACTGCACACAGCACAGGCGGCCCAGGCGTAGTATGTCACTCAGGGGCACCCAACGAGAATATAGTTCAAAACCACTTAAACATAGCATTGTTAAACGTATTTTAGCATTTAAACGGTACATATAGGCATATTTTTAACTCCTAAAAATTTTTCATCTGTTCGGATTTCCTAACTGAAAGTCTAGAGATTCGAAAATTATAGGGATCAACACTTACCTTTCCGAAAATTTCAGCCAGAAAAAAGGCTCCCGAAAATTCTAGGTGACATTTTTAGGGTAAAAATCCGTTAAAAATGGGCAGTTATACCTATTTTTAGATGTTCGAAAATCCTAGGAGAAGTAGGCAAACAAGAAATTATACAAAAAATGTTCCGAAAATTCTAGATCTCAAATCGTCTTCCGACCAGCTATTTTCCGAAAATTGACGTTGCAAACTTTTTGTACATTTCCTTGCCACTATGTAATTACATGGCTACAACTTGAAACGTCCAGAAAACTTCCTGGTTTTCACATTTTATGGAGGAAATTTGGGTGGCACATGCATGTTCTTGTTCACTTTTTCCACTGCCGCTCATTTTTTTTAGCTCCGCTATAAAATTCTTATCTGTTCGGTGATCCTAGGGCAAATTAGATCTTTTTGAAAATTACAAGGGCTTCAATATTATTTTCCCGAATGATTGACCTAGAAGCAGTAGAACCATCCCTTCCATAGCAAGTGCTGCATTGTCGCGCGGACGCGGTCGCTAAGCTTGAACATTCATTTCGCGGTTTAATCCTGGCAGTTTTGCGGTCATATCGAAGCGTAAAAGTCAACAGTGTTTGTTGGTGAGCAGGCGATTATCGCGCAGTTGCGATGGGTTTTGTGGAGCTATCGAGCAAGAAAGCCGAAGCACACGTTACCTGCAGATTAGCCGATGACAATTTGGAACGGATTCGTCGATTATTCTCGCATTTATAGCGCTTCGCGTGAAGGCGTGTGGAGATGGTCCGTTTGTTTTGTAGCCAGCCTTTAATTCTTCTTTAGTGGATAGTACCTACGATTACAAAACTCGACAAAATGCCACTTTAACCGGCCAGGACAGACAAGAAAACGTTCAGTTGAAGGTATCTTAGCTTTATTTTTTTATATTTTGACTTTTGGACTATTTTAGTTCATGGGAGTGTCGACGAC